CTTACCCCCCTCCCATCCCATATGAACTCACTAACTATCTTATCTATTTCATTCACTACACTATCCGGCACATCTAAAACCGTCATTATATAAAGTGCCCTACTCATGATTAACCCATTCACTACAGCTATCTTCCCCCTCAACTTAAGCCCCCTCATCTTCCAAAACCTCAACGTCTTCACTATTCCATTAATTAACTCTACATACTGTCTGTCCCTACCCTCCACTTCTTTAATCCCTAAATTGATCCCCAACACCCTAAAATAGTCCTTATTTTCCTTCAACCCTATATCACAACTCCTATCCCTCACCTGTCCTATGTACATCATCTCTGATTTATCTAAATTCACCCTAGCTCCTGATGCCCTACCATACAAACTGACTGTCTTCAACACTTCCCTAACACTTTCCCTATCTTTAACTGTAATGGTGGTGTCGTCTGCATACTGATAAACTAAACTAACCCCCCCTCCTGGCACCTCCACTCCTTTTATAAACCTGTTTTGCCGCAGCAGAGTCGCGAGGGGCTCGGCTGACAGCGCGTACAGCATTGCTGAGAGAGGGCATCCTTGCCGGACCGACCTCCCTAACTTAAACACATTGGTTACCACCCCATTAATTTTAACGCAACTGACTGCACTACTATAAATCCTCCTTACCCACCCTATTAATCTTTTCCCAAATCCTGCCTTCTCTAACACTCTATACAAAAATCCATGACTAACCCTATCAAAAGCTTTATTTAAATCTAAACTAACTACTATCCCACCTATACCCTCCTTCATGTGACTAATTGTGTCCATAATACTACTAATAGTGTCACAAATATCTCTCCCTGGAATACTATACGCCTGTGTGTTTCCCACTACTGATTTTATAACCCTCTTAATTCTATTCGCTAACACCCGTGCTAGCACTTTATAATCCGTGTTTAACATACTAAGTGGTCTATAGTTTTCTAATTTATTCCTATTTCCTTTCTTAAACAATATACTAATAATCCCTGTAGATATACCGGCCGGCAATTCCTCCCTCTCCTCCAGGCTCCTGTACATTTTAAGGAGTATTGGCGCCAGCCCCTCCCTAAACTCTATATAGAACTCAGACGTCAGACCATCTATCCCTGGACTCTTATTCCTACCTAACCCTGCTATTGCTAACTCTATCTCCCCTAGTCCTATCTCCCCCTCACACATTTCCCTACCTTCATCACTCAACCTAGCTTCCATACTATCTATCACCTGTTCTAAGCTCTCCCTATCAATCTCCTCAGCCTCAAATAACTCCCTATAAAACTCCTCAACTCTCTCAGCAATCCCTACAAAATCTGATATTATTTCTCCTCCTTTTCCTTCAACCTGCTCTATATTATTCTTTCTCTGCTTTACTTTCTCTAATGCCAAAAAAAACCCTGTACTTTTCTCTCCTTCAACCGCATACCTAGCCCTACTTCTAACTATAGCCCCTCTACATTTTCTCTTCTCTATCTCCCCCAGCTCATCCTTCAAACGACTATACTCATCCAGATCTCTCCCTATTTCTATATCTACCCTTTGAGCCTCTAAATGTAACTCTTCCCTAACCTTTTTCTCTTTCTCTCTTTCTATTTTATTCCTATTTTTACAAAATCCTATACTTATCCCTTTTATTTCATTTTTAAATCCCTCCCAACACACCCCCACATCCTCACCATTCAAACCTCCCCTTTTTTCCATACATTCTCTCACTTTAACTTTATATCCATCATCCTTCAGCAGACAGGCATTTAGGCACCACACTCCTCCTCCTCTTCCTCTCATCACTGTTCCAATGCAGAAACTCAAGATGTTATGATCACTCATGGCAGTATTCCTATACTCAATTCTGCCAATTTTCTCCCCTAAATTACTCCACACTAAATCTATTCTACTCTGTTTTAATATCCCTCCCACCACTTGATTCCTAGAAAAAACCCGCTCCCTACTGTTCCTTTCCCTCCACACATCCTGCAGCCCATTTGTCCCCATTATTGTTTTGAGAGCACCACGTGATGAATCACTATTAAAACCCATATTAACAGACACATCCAGTTTCGAACACCACACATTAAAGTCACCAACAATCATACATTTTCCCCCACATTTACCCTCTAACCCTTCAAAAAACTCCCTCCTCCTTCTAACCTCATTCGGTGCATATACGTTAACTAATCTAAAAGTTTCCCCCATACACTCAAACATTATCCCAACCATTCTCCCAACACCATCATCCTCAACTTTCCTTATATTCGTTACCACCCCTGCTTTAATTAATATTGCCACCCCTCTAGCACCCACACTCCCATTATTTACATACATTTCTCCCATCCACTCTTTCCTTACATCCTCCACACACCTCTCATCCCAATGTGTCTCCTGCAAGCATATAATGTCTGAGTCACATATTATTAAGGCCTGCTCTCTCCGGTCCTTGGACCTCAGCCCATTTCCATTGAAGGGGGAAATTGTCACCATTACCAGTGTTATGAAAGTTGTAATTGTATTCATTCTATTCATTTTTTTTCCAGACACTTTGTAGCTCCTCCTGACGTTTTCACCCGTCTTTTCTCCACCTCCTTATCCTTCTCTACTTTCCTCTTTGCATTTAGCCTGCTGGATTCTCTCCTTATTCCTCTGCTCTTTATCACAGCGTTTGTCTCTCCGAAGATCTTCCCCCCCAGAGGTCCCATCATCTCCACCTCTTCTCCATCAGACTCGTTCTCCTCGTAGTCTCCTCCCTCCTCCATGTCAGACACGACCGAACTGACCTCCATTTCCTCAGCAGTCTGTCCCCCGTCTCCACCATCACCTCCTCCATCTCCTGCTCCCTCTCCTCCTTTCCTCTCACCGACAGCTCCTCCTCCAGCATCAGGTTTAGCTTCCACATCCGCATCAGCATCCGCATCAGCATCCGCACCCGGATCAACATCCACATCAGCATCCGCCTCAGTATCCACCAAACCCTCACCACTCCTCGCAGCCTTTCCAGCATCCATAGCAGCAGGAACATCAGCAGCTGGAACAGCAGCAGCATTGGCTCCACTACTACACGCACCTCCGTAGTCTGCTTTCCCCTTCTTCCTCCCTCCGTCTCCTCCATCGTCAGCAGCAGCCGTATCAGCGGCTCTCTTTGCAGCCGCAGCAACAAATATAGCCGCAACAGCAGCCACAGCTTCTTTGTTTAAACTGCTCCCAGCCTCATCACTTCTGCCCTCTTCTTCACTCTCTTCCTGACTTCCACCCTCCTCTTCCTCAATTTCATTCTCAGCTGTTTTTTCCGCCTGGGCACTTCTTCTCCCCCTGGCTCCACTCGCCCCCTCTTCCCGAGCCACACAGTCCCGGGCATAGTGTCCCTGCTTGGCACATTTATAGCATCTGAACTCAGGGCATTCTTTATATAAATGCCCTGGCCTTATGCACAACCTGCAGACCGGCACTTGTTTATCATGGATCACCCTGAAGTACTCCGGACCCTCGAGAGTATCAAATCTGGTTGAGTACGGGAGTGACGTTACTTCCTTGTTGAACTTCACCCGCAGGAACCTCGTCCCATCAGCAACCTTTGTGCCTGGCCACACTCTTCTCTTTATTGCCGAGACAGGCAGAACCCCCCACATTGCCAATCTGCCTTTAATTGTGGTATCCAAAATGTAAGCCGGTATGTTAAGGAATGATACTGTAAGTTCTTTTATCATACAGTCTCTGCCCCGCACCATGGCTCCGTTTATCCTTATCCCATCCATTATTTTATTTTTTCCTTTTTCATCAGCCATTGTCACTTCATATAGGCCATCTCCTTTCACCCTGCACCCCATCACCTCTCCACATTCTTTTTTAACTCCTTTTAGCAGATCCATTACAGATACCACTGCTTTTCCGCTTTCCACCGCCACCACCACAGTAAGCTCTCTTTTATATTTCTCCTCTTCCACCACCCTCTCCAGCTCCTCTCTCACCTCTTTTTGTTCCCCTACTCCTGTTTTTCCATTTTGTCCGCTCGTATTCTCGTTGTCATTGTCCTTTCCTTGTTCATTCACAGTTTTTTCATCCCTCTCCACACTCCGCTGTAATGTGTCAATGTCCGTGATCCGTGACGCAGTTGATAAAGCCATTCCAGTTTTCGTTGCCAGTATATCCATCAAAAAGAAAAACACACCGGTCGGGGGAAACCCCCAGACAGCAAAGCTGTTTGGGGGGGGGAACTACGAACAAAAAAACAAACTATACGTTGGACGAAACAAACGAGAATCACACAAAAACAAACAATTCACTTCTCTCCTTCCGGGACCAAACACGCACGTAGGCTCTCAGTCCAAGCCCCTACTGACTGAGCCACTGCCGGATGTTAAGAGCATTCCATGGAATATAACAACAAGTGTATCTCGAGCCGGTTTCTCAAACTTACCTACCCCACCTTTAAATATTAAATATTGAACAGATTATATATGTGTAAAATGTACAACGTGGTTATATTCAAGATAAACTATGGAGCAGAGAGTTATCTTCCAGCCAGAGGTGATTTGTTGTACAGAGTTATGGCACTGCGGAGCTGCAGCAGTCTGTTGGAGAAGGAGCTCCGCTGACTGTCCAGCTGCAGGTGGAGAGGATGGATGGGGTTATCCATGATGGACAACAGCCTGTTCAGTGTCCTCCTCTCCACCACAGCTTCAAAGGGGTCCAGCTTGATGCCGATGACTGACCCAGCTTTCCTGATCAGTTTATTGATCCTGCTGGTGTCACCGGCTCTGATGCTGCCCCCCCCCAGCAGACCGCAGCAAAGAAGAGTGCACTAGCCACAACAGACCGGTAGAAGATCTCCAGCATCTTGCTGCACACGTGGAAGGATCTCAGCTTCCTCAGAAAATAGAGTCGGCTCATCCCCTTCTTGTACACAGCGTCAGTGTTGATCCTCCAGTTCAGCCCATTGTCTAAGTGCACTCCCAGGTATTTGTAGTCCTCCACAACTGCCACATCCTCTCCCAGAATGCACAGGGGCAGAGGAGACGTCCTCACCCTCCTGAAATCAATGACCATCTCTCTGGTCTTGGCCACATTCAGAATACTCACAACATTAGGCTGAGGTTCATCTTCCGCTCTTCTTGAAGTGGTTGTGCTTCTTGTTGCTTCCGGCTAAAATAAACATAATTAAAGACATTTTGAGTGTTTAAAATGTGCTAGTAATACACAACACATTATTTATTCCTAAACGTGCAGAAAGAAAAACTAAAGTGTGACATTTAATCACATATTTATATATCAATCTTATACACCTTGAATTCTTGTTGGCCAATGATACACATACCCTTTGAAGATGAGCTGGGAAGTTGAATACTGTTGGCACAACACCATCTTTAAGCCGGACAGTCTGCCCCGTCCTGTCAAAGTCCTCACAACTGAAGTGCTCACTGCAGAGCAGTGTCCTGCCTTCTTAGGGCAGCTTCCCACTGCCTCCTCCTCTCTCCGGTTTTGGGAAACCTTAAAAACATGAGAAAGGTAGCCAGATATATCAATTATTGTCAACATTTTCCTCCCTTCTTTCCTTTAACATTAAGGGTAAGGACAAAAATACACACCGAAATTATCATATTTTTGGGGTAATTGTATGTATGTATACTTTAAGAATAAGACAACCACACTAAGAGTTATAAAAAAAGATGTCCAAAAGAAACATTAAATAATTGTGTAAAGAAATGGTAGCAACATATTCTAAAGAGGCTGGGTCAACAACAATCTTGCAATACTATTATCTCACATAGACCCACTGATCCTGTGTAGCAGGACTTGTAATGTACATACATCCACTAAGTAATTAACGATTATCCTAATTATAGTCATAATATTGTCATATCTTACACGTGAAAGGTGATTCCACGGGTTCTTGTTTCCAGACTGCGGCGATTAGAGCATCCGTAGGCTGCACAAAAGTCCGGCATAGTCAGGTACTTCTGTAAACACAAAGCCAGCAATTTCCTGTATCATAATGTATCTAAATGTAAGATGTTTTTAACAAGCCAAACCACTTGGAAGAAATCATGTGTAACTTAAGTTATGTTGAAAAGAAAGAGCAGTTCTGCCTCTCCCACTGGTGTAAAGTTGCTGGGTCAACTTTGTAATACTAGGTCTCACTCACAGCCTCTTGTTATTAGCCAGCTAATAAATACAACCACACATACATAAAGAAAAGCTGCAATTTCAACATGTCCAAGCATCCTGTATCATAGCCATGCTAATAATGTTTATAATAAACCAAACCGTTTGTAAATCAATCAAGATTTCAGCGAGTTAAGAGTATTTTTGTGCAGATCACTCACCTTACAACAGCTACCATAGCGCGTACCAGAGTAGCTGTTGACTGTAGCAAGATGGCGGCCGGTGAGCTACGCTGGAAAATCTCCCATGAGCCATCTAGTGTTTATATATATCTATGCTTGCCGCGGCCGCAGCTAGACCATATTGGCCATATTTGACAACTACATACGGCAACTCTAATAGGACACTTGACACAGTGGCTTTTGGCAAAGCAGAAAAAGAACCTAGAGAGATGAGTTATTGTTATTACAACGTGACTTCACTATTATTTAACAACTCTTTTTAACAGCTATCATACTGAATAAATATTTACTGTGAATGTATGCAAAAATGTATAGCATATAGCTGTCTAACAGAAGTTAAATCCATTTCTCACTTATTCTGACAATGTACTTAACCCCAAATAAAAGAACCCAATAAAAAGAGTTGTTAAATAATAGTGAAGTCACGTTGTAATAACAATAACTCATCTCTCTCGGTTTTCGGAGTTTTCTTTGTGTGCTTTGCCAAATGCCACTGTGTCAAGTGTCCTAGTTGGGTTGCCGTACGGAGTTGTGCAATATGGCGGACCATCTCGCACATGCGCACTGCAGATAGGGCAGGGCGGTAGTGACAGCCGTACAGCCAATGCGTGACGTCATTAGTAAGCGTAACGGACCCCGTGCTGATCTGGTAGGCCGTGCAGATATGGTACCTACACCGCCCTATAGCCAAAGCCCGAGACACTGTTTAAACTTTAAACAGGGCCCGAGACACTGTTTAAAGCATAATAAAGACAATATATAGAGAGCATAATGTTTTTAATGCAATGCAGTCTCGCAACGTATGCTTCAGCAGAGAATGGCCCGCGGCGGGAAGCATTCACTCGCGATCTCAAGTCGTCTACAACATACGTTTAGGGAGCTATATAGAAGCCTATGGACATCCCGGAAAGTTGAAAATGTACGCTAAGGGCCGCCCCCCTTGCGTTGGAAAAAGACCACAGGGGACCTTGACATAATGTCAACATACGCCAACCTGGGAGTGAGGATGTGTTGGTTCGTCGGATAGGCGGTTAGCTGCAATAAATAACTCCAGTTCAACAAACCATATTACAATATCTAAGGGAGCGTTATTTCTGGACCATCTTGAAATGTGACGTTCATATTTGAAAGATACACACATTTCATTGTGAGGTTGATTTAATATACACTAAGCCTCTCTTCAACAATGTGTTGACGTTAGCTAGTTCTATTTTATGCTATAGTAGAGCATAGCGAATTTAAATGAACCTTAACAATGCATACATTAACCCAGTGCTTCTCAAACTTTTTTCAGTATTGTACCCCCTTTGAAAAATGTTCTCAGCCAAGAACCCCCTGACCGACCCCGAACATTTTTGATAGAAAAAGCCTATACAAATAATTACAATATAGTGATGTTCCATCAGTGTATGATTTATGAACTCCTTCATGCATGAATTACAACAAACTAAGGATATTTTCATTTTTATGCATGTTTTTTTAAACAGATTTTTAAGTAATATATGTTTAACAAACCAATGAATAAAATGATATATTATGCAAAAACTATAAAATACAATACACAAATATTACAATAAAATCCTCTGTAGTGCCTGATGTGCAACTATACCATCCGAAACCCCATGAATGTACAAGAAAACAGCATTAAATTAGCAGTCTCTAATGTAGTGACCACAATGCATGAAAGGGTTAAAAAACAACAACGTTGTAACTGAAAAAATGTGCAATTATAAACAAACTATGTAATAACACTGCAATGACACTATTTAGGAGTTGTAGGTCGTTAGCGATCGTGTACGGCTTTTTGGCTTTAGCGATGAGCAGTGACACCGCATACGATGCCTCCAGTGCTTTGGCTGATGTTGTGGAGGCTTTTCGCATCATCTCTTGCGAGGATCTGTACTGAGCAAGTTTTCTCTTGAAAAACTCCGGTGGCTTACCAACATGACACAGGTGTTTGGTGCTGAGATGTCTCTGGAGGTGCGCTGGTTTCATCGAGCTGTTGGCTAGTTTCTCCCCACAGAAAAAACACAATGCCTGGGGCGGGTTGCCGTTTGTTGACGTGAATCCCATCAAAGCATACGCCTCCTGATATTGACGGCATTTTGTTGGCTCAATTTTGGCTTTCTTTTTTTCTCCGTTGTCCACGTTCCCTGCTGTAGTGCTGCTACGTTTTAACCATTTCAATGTCTATTTGTTATAATCTAATATTGCAACTGGCTTCCCGCTCAGTGTGGTTCCGGGCTAGAGCCTGATTTAGCTCTGGTTCTTCCTGTTTCCACCGCACCGGAGCCGGCTCTCAGTACCGAAACCCGGTTCTTAGCTGGCCCCACTGTGCTGCCCGGCAAGTAGGCTACCAATACTTCACGCTTACGTCGGAGGGGGGCGAGATTAACCTGAGCAATAACAGTTAATGGCGAGTACGGCAAATAAAAGTTGTAACAAGCAGTAGTGCTGAGCAAAGTGACTAGAACACACATTGCACAACAACGGATCTTGAACCCTTGGTGGTTCTAGGAATATTTTATATAAAATTGTGTTTTCTATTTAACTTATTGTACTATGATTATTTTTGCAATCATGCATGGTATTTTTTTAATTAACCTTTTTATTCATTTTTATCTCACGTACCCCCTACAGTACCCCAACGTATCCCTAGGGGTCCGCGTACCCCCATTTGAGAATCACTGCATTAACCTAACTAGCAAACTAACTATCTAAAGTACAAGGATGACCTTATTTTACCAACCTCGCACAGAAGCCTTTTGGTATACAGCAGCATCCCACTTAATGTTTTATACTTCTCTATTACGTTTAACTTGGATGCTACACATAGCATCGTTAGCACAGATGGAGCTACCGATTGCTCAAATGCTAACCCAACTCTAAACATTCATTAACGTTAGCTTAATAAAAACACCAGTAACATAACATAAAGTACGCGGGGTTGACTTACCGAAGAAACTGCATTCATGGATGGTCTGTTTTAACCGCAGATAAATCCTATATTTGCATGACGAATAGTCCATCAGGAACCAACACAACAAACACGGCCGAGTTCAAGTAGTGTTCTCCTCATGAGCTGAGCCCCTGTAGCATCACGGAGCTAACGGAGCTAGCAGTGAGACAGAGGAGCTACAGTAGGAGCAGCAGTCCCGTTGTCATGAAGGGGGAATCTAACTATATACAGAATATGATTTTTTGGATCCAGGCTAGAAACATGTTCATTTTCTGATGTTAAGTTGGACATTTTAACATAGGGTCTACGGCAGGGGTATTCAACTAAAATTCAACGAGGTCCAGTTAGAGAAAATCTCCCCATGCAAAGGTCCGGAACATCAAAATGTCTAACTTGCTCTATGAATTAGTGTGATATATATTGAAGTAGCCTGTAGCTGTATCAACGTCTGCATGTAATCAACAAAAGACTGCCAATCAAATAAAGAAAGTACAATTCATAAACAACAATATTTATTGTCAATTAACATTGAACTATACAGATATACAGTAAAATACTGTGGATATATATGTGTAATGTTCCTCTCTGGCTGCATTTAAAAATAAAATAGGAGAAAATAAATAAAATAGCTTTTGAAAATATGTGCATCTTAAAAGTGCTTAATTTTAGATAAATAAAATAAAGTGTAGCAGCAGCTTGAGTTTCCCTTTTTCTTTGTTAACCGTTTCACATCATGACTTAACAGTTTCAGCCGATTATAGAACAATATCAGTCTTTACACATCATAACAATTGAACAGTTTTAAAGTTTCTCTTTCTTTCCCTCTTATATTGTAGTCCATCACTCACTTTTCTTTAATTCAGTGCGAGAATTGAGCTTGAGCTTGTCCTGCCAGGAGTTTGTAAATCTGGGCAGAAATGGTGTCAGGGCCATTCTCATACACATATGCAGGTGCTCATTGGTTAGCCTCGGTTAGCCTGACCTGGAACGATATTTAGTTTTAATTTTGATCCTGGTGTGACCTCAGTTCTGACTTGAGAGGGAATGTTTGGTCAAACACTTTGTGTTTTGTCTCATAGTGGCGTTTTGGCACTTTTAATGAGCGCTACGGTCTCTGAACAAATGAGACACACTGGTTCTGTGCTCCCAGTGGGCAGGATGAACATGAATGAGTCCGTCCACTCAGGGTTAAAAGCTCTGTTCTCACAGTCTACTTTACTCTTCTTGGAGAGCGCCATGTGTAATTATGTGTCTCTCCCTCTCTGCCGCTAACACGCCTGTTCACTCTCCTTTCCGCTTCTCTCCCTGTATCGCTAATTATTCTCTTCGCTCACTTTCCTCTCCGCTTCTCTCTGTCGCTCTCTCGTCTCTTCTTCTGTGTTTCTCTCCCTGTATCGCTCACTTGTCTCTTTCTGTTGGCGGCGGTTAAAATAGAATCGCCCCGTCAAAATTGAATTCCCCTATTAATGTATTGATTATAGGTCGGGGTCCGTATAGGTCGGCGTCTGGGTCCGGATCTGGACCGCGGTCCGCCTGTTGCCGACCCCTGGTCTACGGGAATTGCTCCCATCTGCATCCATCACCTACAGTTTGCAGCATTGGGCTTCATGCATGGGCGTCGCAGCCATTATATGAGGGTGGGACAAGTCCCCCCCACTTTTTCAAATGATTAGTTTAGACCCCCCCACTTTTACTATGCGGAAAGTCCGTGAATCGGTCTATCCACTCGCCGCACTTTGTAGAGCGCTGTGTCAGTGCTTCACTATCAAATGAAATCCATTCCACTTGCTTATTGAGAGAATGCCCAAATCAATGAAACTCCGTACCATGTTTTCACTGCTACTTTGTACCAAGGCAGATTCTCACATAGCGCGCGCATGTTCAAGGAGTGTTGTCATAGTTGGACAGCTCAGATCTGTTGTATGAAGCGATGCCGGTAGCGGAGGTAAGGCACACACACCAAATGTTCAGGAAATGGTTAATACAGCGAAAATCAAAGCTGACGATCTCTTGGTTTGATATGTTTTCTCCCCCAGACAACATGGACATAAGAACATTTTTTTCAAAGAAGAGGAAAGTAAGTCATCAGCTGGTAGCAGTTAATCAGTTAACAGTGATGGCGGCGT